TTTGGTGACCGGTGCTCATATTCAGAAAGTAAATCTTATGTCGATCAGCAAAATGGCAGAACAAAATAGAAAGGGACATCGCTAATCATTACCTGGAGGTCTATCTAATACATACCCATAGAATAGAACATATGTCTTCCAGTTATAAGTTCTATTCAGGCTATGCATCTCAGGCTGTGATAACAGTGATTGCTCAGCTTGCATCCTAGTAAAAAATCCTATTATATGGTACGGCAGTCGTAGTATATTTAAGGATGTCTCTTAGATTACCGCCAAGTTGTTGGTTCATTGTAACTTGAATAGTTAAATGTTATGAAAACCCTATTACAGCGTAATTGGTCGTGCAATTGCGGTGAATTTGAATGATGGGAAAAGATTTGCAAGGGCTTTTTTTGTGTGTTGTATGTTGGTTAGGAAGTACGTTGGTATATACATTGCTTGTTTCATTGTTTAGATGCATACTTGCCAACCTATGACACTCAAAAATCAGGAGATTTTTTTAAGAAATCGGAAGATTTTTCACAATGTTAAAAAGACTTTTTAAATGATGAAATATAGTTTTTATAATAATTAACTTAAATAACTAATTCTTAATTCAAGCACACAACTCTTTATCCATAAAAAAACATTTTAGTACTTGCGCGATTAGAAATAAAAACCACTTTTAATTAGTTTTCCTACAAATGTTTAAACATGGCAGATTTGCTTCTTAAGAACGTCATAATTTTGCTCGTAGTATTGCCAGTAGCCTGCTTTTTCGCTAATAAAGCTTTGCTATGGTCATCACTAATTTAGATCTAAATTTATTCCTCGTTTTGGGTTGTTGCAGTGACACGGTGCCGTGAAGGGACAGCCTGACCTCAGAATTGTGCCTGCGTTGTCTGCATAACGCAGTGACTAGAGAGAACGGTAACGATTACGAAAGATAAACAAAACCTCCGCGGAAAGCAACGCGGGCCGGCCTTAGCAGTGTATAACGGGGGGGAAGGGGCCTCCGAGTCAGAACAATGACGAAAGGGGCTGCTCTGAGCGAACTAGATCGCTGAGGAACGGTGTTGTGAACTAGTCACAAGCAATCAACTTCAACCATAAAACTGGTGGTCCGTACGAGAGAGTGCGCACAACAAGCAGGAGGAACCAGAAATCGAAAACAGTGATAAGGCAGGGAGGTGTAAAATACCTACTTTGAACTCGAATGAACAAAAACGTTCTGGGTCGGGGTGGGGGCAAACGAACAACCACCGGTGTGGACGGAAGCAGAAAGTGAGAGAGGGGGAAGACGAAGGAAAAAAAAAGAAACGGATAGGTCTGTAGGGAACGCCATGTTACGAAAGTAAAAACATGAACACAGACCACTTAAGACAGAACAAAGAAACGCAAACAAGTGAAATCTAAAAAATACAAAAAATCCTAAAGCAGCGACACGAGGCGGGTACGAGTCACAAAGTATACAGCCGGTAGAAAGCAGGGAGAGAAATCACACAAGTATCGGATGAAGTATGTTTGTGAAACGTTAACGGGGAAAGGGTCGGGCAAGACGGACAAAGAGGGCGAAACGAGGGCCTAACAACGAGAACCAACAACGCACAAAAGGACCGAAAATATAGTAACTACCAAAAATCAGCGGGCTTTGGTCATCAGGGGGGGCGAGAAGGCCAGACACAGAAGCACAGCCCCCTGGTGGTGGACACAAGGTGGAGAACCTGCGCAACAGAGGTGCTATGCGAGCACGGTGTCAATGCGCGAAGGCGAAGGGCTAGATCAATGCGCGGCTAAGGGGGAGAGAGAACCGAGAGAAAGGCAAGGGCGGCGACGCGGTCCAAAAGCACGGGGGGGGGGTGGGGGGGGGGGGGGGGAGATAACAAGAGGAAGCCAGGCCAGAAAAGCGGGAGAAAGGGAAAAGAAAAAAAGCAGGAGAAAATAGATTGTAAATATCGGTTTTGCGGAGAGCGGTCGAAAATTGGGAGAGTTGGCAACTCTGTAGATGGTACAATGGCTGAATATAGTAGAATTAATTTAAAGTTTCTGTATGATTTGGAATGAAAGGGTAAAAAAGCATTAACTTACTGGTGTATTAATGAAGGTTTACTTAGTAGCCATCTTAAGTATGAAGTTTGTATGAAGAAAAATGCGTATGGTCAAACATCGGAGGATACTTTTTACTCCTAATTTTTCTGAATTTATGTGGCGACGCCAGTACAGAGATTCTAATTCAGGTAATTTTAGGAAGTTTTTGGATGCAGTTAAGGAATTTTGTTTGACTGACGATACGGAAATTTCTAAATAAGGTAAATGGATATTTCCTTTGTGTAGTGCTAAGATGAATTTCCTTTTTTATGTTATTTCATTGTTTGATTTAAAATGTAGTTTATTGAGATTATATATTTTTTGTTTACTTCTAGTGTAGAATTGGCTGTTCCTTTGACTTTTTAAATGAAAACAGATTGATGTGTACATGGACAAAATCAAGAGAGTTGTCAATGCCGAGTTTATGAAAACAGGTCGAAGTGTACATGGATACCGAGTCTGTGAAAGTCTTCGACTCGTTATTTTGGCTTTGTGTAGCGGCAATTTTTGACATAAAAATCGCTCCTACACAAAAAGCCAAAACAGAAAGTCAAAGAATTGCACAAACTTAGTGTCCATGTATTGCCAAAAGGGCCACTTTCACCAAGAGGGATGTTGGTTAATCTTTGGATTATGGTAACTTGGCGATTTTTTGGCAACAGTGCTACAGCAACCTGCTAGTTTTTGTTTGGACGCCATTGTTTTCACGAAGTACAGGCATTTTTTTTTTTTTTTTACTCAACATTTTTTTTCCAACAATCTGCTAACCGAATTACGCTTATGCTAGAACTTTATGAACAACTCGTAATCTGACGAAGATTAGGTGCGAAATGGGGAAAGTGCAGAACGGCCACTGCTTGCCGCGTTTAAGAATGACACACGGTCTCTCCAGCACATCGACCATATCATAAAAAAACGCCCAGCTGACAAAAATGGCATTGCGAACTATTGATTTATCCATACGCTACATTCTAGCTAGTAACCTTTATCGCCTTACTAAAATGCCGCCAAACTACCTGTTACCATATTCCAAAGATTAGGTAATATGTTTTTACCTGTCCAGGCTTGGTGCGATTTTGAAAACTGTCACCAACATCAAAATGACTCATTTACTGCTCATCATAATGGTTGTTTGACGGTAGATGAACTTTTCAGGAAAAATTGCACAGAACATGAAGCTTTCATGAAAACAAAATCCAAAGTTTATGTTAAAAATGCATGATGACTTTCGAATGATGACAAAAATATTAAGCAATCAGAGTATGCCTTTTCATTCTTATCATCTTTCCAGTGACAAAAACATCAGAGCAGTGATTACAGGTGTAACTTCCACTCGATTAAAAGAAAAAAAAAAAAACTATTTCATAATTTTTAAATACTAGGCATTACTTACTCGGCAGCACTACTACTTAACCACGTGTAATAGCAAAAATACACAACAAAAAAAAGGTTATTGCCATTTTCTTTAACCTAAATGTTGTCTGATGGGACTTAAGTTACAAACATCTGCGCAGCCTAATTTTTCCGCCTACCTGCCATTTAAAAAATTGCTAAATGTAAAAAACTTGCATTTTCAGCATAATAATTCTATTAATGATAGCAAAAAAAGAGGAGAAACAGTAAATTCAAAAAAAAAAAAAAAAAATCTGTGATACTTTAAAATTTCATTTAATGTTTCATTTTTGGCATCAATATTATAATTGGATACGAATTTGCTATATAATAGACTAAAGACATCGCCAATGTGAAAAGCTAGTTTGCTATGGTCAGTATTTATCGCTTATTTGGTTCAACATACACATTTCTTTGGTTTCATTGTTTCTGATCTCGCTGTTTTTTTCCAAATTTTAATAAGCATTTATTTACAGAAGCAACGAAAAAGAAATTTATTAGTAAGAGTACATTTAAGATTGTACATGAAAGTTTTGCACTATGTGTATAAAATCTTTTAAGAGATTTTATTTTTAACCAGATATTCATACTTTCAGTTTTACAAAAATAAAATTTAATGAATCTTATTTAAATAATACAACTCTGAAATCCTATTGAGAAAAATATTAATTTATTTTTTTAAAAATAGGCACATAAGCACATTGTTACTTATTAAACAGTTTTTATTAAGCTTATTTCCTAAGCGACTGATTTAAGTTAAATGTATATTTTATTTCTAAATCCTATAGTCAGTATGCAGTTAAAGGTATCTAAACGAGAAAAACTTTTTAATTTTTGGTATGTAAAATGTATCTTTAAAACTGATTTAACAAAAAGGAATCTCATTATTCATGCACTTTTGCTTGAACCTAATGTAATGAAGCAAAGAGATTTAATGAAGGTATCTGTTTCTGCAATATAGAAATAAATTTAAAAGAAATAAATGGCTTCTGCAATACAAAGCTACCTTATTCATACATACTGTACTAATTCAATTAGTGTAAAAGTATAATTTTCAGAAATATTTTGCTTTTATATGTCTTATAGATAGAAATATGGACAGTAACAGAATGTAGATTTCATGATATTTAGTATATAAATCTAGAACTTGATTTTAACACATTAACACATAGATCCATGTCATTTTTTCATAGCTGTTAGAAGTGAGGGCTCTATCTGGCTAAAGCCAACAGATAAGAATTTATCTAGCTAAAGAATTTATGGAATTTAGCTAGTGTTATGAAATAGATAATCATGTCAATATGATTTTCAGTTTTAATGGTTTTCCATACAATCTTTTAATCTCAAACAGTATTTTAATATCAAAGAATATTTGCGTAAAAACTATAATCACATAAATTCACAAAATGAATACAAAAATTCGTAGTTGTATGACTGTTTCCAAGACAGAAGTCGGGCAAAACCACTGAACGCAAACTGATACCAATTCATTCAAACGACGCCAAATTTGGCTAAGTAAGGGGGTTGCCATTCACATTTCCTTTATCTATTATGTGCAAAACTACAGTGGGTGTCGTCTGTGTGTAAAATAACTTTGGTGTAAACAAAATGAGTTCTCATCTTTCAAACGGTCGCGTAAATGTTGCCCTCTTAAGGGATGATGCTCGCCGATTATTACTTGACTGTCTTGATAAATGTCCTGGGACTAAAGTATGTATATAAAATAAAAGGGTAAAGTGCAGAATCACCCAATGCTTGGCGCGTTTTTAAGAATTCCACATATATTCGTTATCTATGTGCACATCGACATATTTTCACTTAAAAAACATCCCAGAATTGCCTAAAAATGGCATTGCGCACTTCCTTGACTTTATCCATGTACAGATCGACCTATTTTTACTTAAAAAGTCAAAGAAAATTGACCTTACGCTTGTAAAAAGCGCTAAACAAATAAGTGGGCGATTCTGCACTTGGTGACAGCTGTATTTATATCTGATAGAATACTTATAATTTGAAATCAAAAGAGGAAAAAAAAATTGGATTGTGAAATATGAAATCAAAAGAGGAAAAAAAAATTGAATTGTGAAATATAGTGAAGTTCAAACTGCCATATATTACTAGAATTGGTAAAAATATGTTTATGGGTGCTCCTTGGCGATACATGAATACCGAGTTTGTGCAGTTTTTTGGCTTGTTATTTTGGCTACACAAATCCAAAATAACAAACCCGGGATCCATGCACACATCGACCTATTTTCACTTTAAAAAAAATCAGAGAACAGAAAATTGCACATACTCTCGAGACTCTCCACGCTACAACTCGCAATGCACTCAACGATATGCTACAGCAGGGTTTCTTAAACTGTGGATAGCAGGACCTGCAGCAGGGGAGTCACCAAAAATTTTAGCAGTTTTGATATTTCTTTAACTTATAATAAATTTTACAGTTACCAAATAGTTTTACACAATGTATCTGAAAATAGATGCAAGTTGTTGAAAATTAGATTAGCACCTAAAGCTGTGCACATGATTGGTGACATACTTGTAGCTGACGTTTTGCAACAGAACTGGAAGTAAATGATGGTTCTAATCTGGTAACGTATGGGCTCAAACAGAATGATGCACTGGCCTGCTTGCTTTTTAACCTTGCTCTCCAAAAAATCATAAAAGACTCTAACATTAATACTCTTGGAACTATCTTTAACAAGTCTGTTCAGATTTTTGCGATTGCTGACAATATTGACATAGTCGCACGCATTCCCGAGTCGCTTAGAGAGGCTTTTACATCTCTAGAGGCTGTAGTCAGCAAAATGCATCTAGCAGTCACTAAAATAAAACTAAATACATGCCATGTGGTAATAACAGCAGCCCCCTATTTTGAAATTGGGAATTACAAATTTGAAACTATTAGCAAATTTAAATATTTAGTATCAGAAGTTAATACTCTCAATGATTTAATGCCCATGATCTGTAATAAAGTCACAGATGCTAACCAATGTTTTTTCAATCTCAATACTTGAAGTCTAACTTCACTACCAGAAAAAGGAAGATTTTAATTTACAAAAGTTTAATCAGACTCATTCTTATATACTCTGACTGAGACCTGGGCAATGACAGAAAAAGCTAAAAGTATCATTTCTGTCTTTGAAAGAAAAATGTTGAGAAATATTTTTGGTGGCATAAAGTGTAACAATATCTGGAGAAGAAGAACTAACTCTGAACTCTATAAATCCTATAAAGAAATAGATATAGTAAAATATATAAGGATTCAGAGAATTAAATGTGCGGGACACCTGTGCAGAATGGATGAAAATAGAGTAACTAAAAAGATCTTCTCAGCCAGACCATTCGGCACTCGAAAAAGAGGGAGACCTAAACTTAGGTGGCTCGACTGTTTGTAAATAGACTTAAAAGTTTTTTAAAATAACCAATTGGATGTTCATGGCCAGGAATAGAAGAACTTGGAATCCGATTCTGAGGAAGGCTAGGGCCTATCCTGGGCTGTCTGGCCATTGAAGAAGAAGAAGAATCTGGTAGTGTGATAGTTCCGTTTTCACACACCTTGATAACAGTACTTTTTTACAAATTTCACAACACAGCGTTCTAAAGCAAGTCTCTTTCTTTCGAATCGAAAAATCATTTGACAATATAATGCCAACTCAGACTGTTTGCGCAGACGATATTTGGGGTAGTGGGAAACTTCCTTTGAAACCCGATATTAGGTACTATTGATACTGCATAATGTTCCGTCATCACTGCTATTTAATGAGGACATTTTTTTGTTGTTGTTAACCTTCTGAGTGGTGCAGCTTTTTGGCTGTGCTCAGGAATAACCGCATTATGATTTATAAGCTAAATTTGCATAATTAATTATTTTAATCTCTGTTTTCATAAACTTCCATTCATTAAGATGATATACATATCTTTAAAGAAAGTAAGAAAGCAAAATATTTTAAATTATAAGCTTGAATTTAACAAATATTCTGTATTCATATAAAGCAAATATAAAATTCTCTATTCATATAAAGCAAATATAAAATTAAAATTTAATTGCAAAGAAATTAAAATAATTATTATTGCTGTGAATTAATTTACAATATCATTTAAATTCTAAGAGCATATGTGAATTAATTACGCTTATCTAAAACCATGAAAAAATATATTATTCCTAAAGATTAAACTTATTATTCCTATAAATTGCATAAGTGAATAATTGTTGAGCAGGCAGGAGACAGACTTATTAAGAGGAAGTTGCCCCCATACCTAACTCTTCAATTACTTAATTCGTGTTTCGTCATGCATATAGGCAAGCGTAAAAGTAAAATTCAAAACCAAAAGTAAAATCAGATGTTGTGAATTACAAAAAAAGAAATTTAAACAGTGGAATTTTGAGAAAATAACAAGTAAATAACTCTAGTTAAAATTAATTAAATTAATAAAAAGTCAAATAAGAGTAGAAAACCAAAGTAATTTAGAAACTCTTGGTTGACGCAGTACAAAGTCCGTAAACCGGATTCGTCGGGACTTTGACGATTCCGAATTATAGATCATCAGTTTAAATCTGGTAAGATGGCATGCAGAAATTATACAATCAAAAATATGAAACTGTAATTTATGAAACAAAGAACAGTTATGATCTATATGGTATCAAAATTTACAAAAGAAAAAAAGGTTAATATTTATTTGTTTACTTTATTAAGCATTTCTTTCAATGTAAGTTGTTTAAGTTGCTTCGTTTTATGTGCTAATACTTTCTCTTTAATTCTATAAACAGCCATAATTTCTTGTTCAGTTACAAACTTCCACAGTTCATGTTCTGTAATTGCTGTGTCAGAAATACCGATTAACTTGTCAATCGAAATTTTTTCATTTTCAATAATCTCTCTGTCACTTTCTTCACTATCGGAAGGGGTATTTTCTGGATCTAGAACCATACTACAGATTTTGCTGTCCGTTAATTGATTGATTATTGGGGCATTGTCATCGCAATGAAAAACTTCTGTTATATCATCATCATTTATTACCCTTCTCCACATTTCTTTACAAAATCCAACAACTGGAAAATTTCACCTTTAGTTTGTGATGTCCGAAAACCTTCAAATTCGCGGCTTATCATCTTCATTGTCCTTGCCATGAAAAATGGTAGTTGGCCATAAATTATGCCAAGCATTTTTTAACATATCTGGAGACGCATCCTCCCGCGATCTTGCAATGCTCCAAACAGCAGATTTTATGCTAAAAAATTTCAAAAAGTCTTGAATGGTTTTGCCATTGTTCAAGAAATTCAACATTAGATTTTTAAAAATGCTACTTTATATTTGCATTTCAACACGTGCACTATTTCCATATCCATAGGTTGAATGATAGACATACAATTTGGAGGGAAAAATATAACGGATACATTATCTTTTACTAAAACTTTAAGTGAAGTATGCGCCGAACAGTTGTCAACAATCAGGACTATTTTTGAGTCATCAGGTAAACCAACCGAATTCCAATGTCGCCAAGCCTCGTGTGTAAAAGGATTTTCAAACCAATCATTTATCAACGCTTGTGTCATACATGCTCTTTTATTTGCACGATATATAACGGGGAAAATCGTTACTTCTTTAGATATTCGAGGTTGTGCATGTTTTCTGATTACGAAAAGTTTGCACTTGTGCTTTCCTGCAGCATTTGCGCACACTTAAATCATTAGTCTCGCTTTGGAATCTATACCATGGTGATTTTTAAATTTGGTTAACCAACCTGTCGAATATGATAGTGTTTATTTCTTCATGAAATATTTTGGTTTGAGCATTGGAACCGTCAATGGCACACCTTTGCTGTGACGCTGTCTGACCCATTCAATCATCACTTTGTCATGATTGTCACTTTTAGCATAAAGAACCTTTTTTCTGTTATTCATTGCATAGGGTGTCGGAATCTATAAAAAATTCCTTTTTTTTTTTGCTTATGTCATATACAGTTGACTTTCCAATGTCATACTCCTCGCATAATTTTGAGACGGGTATGCCTTTATCCAATTTTTGCAGCAATTCCACTTTATGTTTGATGGACGTCGAAACATGCTTTTGCTTTGTAGATTCTTTGGGAGCTCCAGAATTGGAAACTCTTTTTGACATAATCGAAAGTTCAAGCTTAATTTTTATAAAATTGCTCTAACAGTCTGCAAAAAATTATGAGCCAGTTCCAATTAGAAGATTAAGGAGCAGAATCAGTAAAGGTAATTTTAGCCTAGCTTATACCATCCGTTATACATTAAACGCACATGCGTAAAGCATACAAAAAAAACGTTTGTGCCTCTGAGGTCCGAATTATAGATCATTCCGGATAATGGATGTACGGATTACGGACTTTGTACTGTATATACCATTAGCCATATGGTATATGTTAGAATGGCAAAAAATCTCATGACCGGTTGGCAGTCATACTGCTCAGGGAATTAAAAATATCTCTGACTTCTGAACTTGTTTCAGTAACCTCTTGACTTCTGTGTGCTGCCTGTTTTTGCAGGGAGGAGTAATATTCTCATTCAACTGAGATATCTCTATGAATTCTGGAACTAAGTAATTGTGAAACGCTAGTTTCTTGCAGCAGAGGAAGAAAAATTTTTAAATATTTAAGTCAAGGAGAAATATGCTAATATATAATTTAAAATTAGGCAAAATGGGTACCGTGCTGTAGATTTTGAGATCCTGCTTCATCAGGAGCGAAAAGACTTGTAACTAATGGGAATAATGCAAAGATGTTATATCGAAAGCATTCATTTTTAAAGAAAGAATTCATTTTTATCATTATAGCAGGTAATGCAGTTGAAGCTTACATAAAGATCACTTAATTTATAAATTAAATTTTTTAAATCAGCATGTCAATCTCTGCAATTTCTGTCATGCTTGTTTGTCTGCAGTTTTCTTGGTTCTGGTTAAAATCTGCAATTCGCGAATTTGCATATTCCCGAGTGGTTGAGACTATATTATTAATTTGGTTAAAATCAGTGGGTCTAGCGAGTATTTTCTGCATAGCCTCAGCATAGTGAACGCTAGCGTTATCCTTTCCTCTGCCTCATTGAGACCTGAGATGGTTTTCTTATCTAGAAGTTGCTGGATTTTTCGCGTAATTTTTTCTAATGGTTCACGTCAAAAATTTATCGAGCTTGATGGAGATTCCATTGCGAAAACGGAGAGTCACTGCTTCAGAATGCCTGCTTTTGTGATTGCTCAAGTGGCATAACAGAAAAAGAACTTGATAAAAATTCAAGCAGTATCGGAGAACGAGCAGAAGCGAAAAAAACTGAAATACTGGCTTCCAGTACCTGGCTGCCTCCGGGCCTTCTCCTTCCCCTGTCTTTCTAACTTTTTAGTTTCAACCATTTAAATACTTTCATTTATCTATTTAATTTGCATCCTGGGGAGGAAATGCAAAGGGAAATAAGGGAATTCAGAAGAAGTTCAAAAATTGAAAGAACTATTAGTACAACTAAACAGAACCCTATAAACTATATTGTGACGTGCTGCTTGAATTTATGAATACATTTTTGCAGCTTTTTGGTAGGGATGTAAGTAATCAGAAAGTGCTAAAACTACAATAAAATTTTTTTCAGAAAATATTTTGTTACGTACTTGCTAATGGGAACTGTTCAATGCTTTCAATCTATTTTTTAAGTGATTGCCACAGAATTTCTGCTGAAACAAAAGAAACAAAATACTGCTTGTAAATATGTTTATTGATTGATTTTTGATATAAATCCATAACTAAAATGTAAAGTATGTGTGTAATAATATAAATATATGTAATAAATAATTGGGAATGATGTAGTATGGGATCGAATGCCTTTAATTAATTACTTATTTCATAGTTGGTGCCACTAAAATGCTATTTTTTAATTTGAATGTGCAATAAAATGGTAGAAAAACAAGTGAATAAAACGGTGGTTCTTAAAATTTTTGCCCCATACACTCCTGTCACTACTGCTAGAAGATCATTTTTCTCTTTTTTTCCAAAACTCAGAAAATACATATACATTTATTTAAATTTAGTTTGTCTTTAATGTGTTTCATAAATTAAAGAAGAAAAAGTATAGGAAGTGTTGATAAAAACTGAAACTTTAATTAAGAGTAGTTTTTTATATTCATAATCGTACTACATAACAATTAAATGAAATGCATCCCCCCCCCATCAAAACTGAAATGTCCTCCCTGGTTGAGAATTACTGCACTAAAACAACAACCAAATTTAGTGCCACCATCTAAAAAAAAAAACGGTATTTACGTATTATCGCCACCGCAGCAGAAGTTGTGCTGATGTGCCAACAAAGAGCAATCCTGTTGTTTGCACATAGTTATCTTTTGGATTCCTTTTTACCTTGCTGTTTCGATTGATTTTTGGAAAGGTTACCAAACAAATAGAATAGAAAATGAAAGATTCCTACATGCTAAAGTTAATCATAAATACAATTTTATTGATTCTGATGCAGGAGTTCATACACAAACAGTTGAGAGAATGTGGGGCAGTGCTAAATGGAGAAACAAGAGACATAGACGAGTTTTAAATAAAGTGTTTTAATTTATAATTCGTCGCAAAAATTTTAGGTGTAGATTGGCGGCACTTAAAAACCGCAAAATCTGCAGCTGCGGTGGCATTAATACTCAAGTACCAAAAAAAAAAAAAAAAAAAAAAAAAAAAAAAAACATAATTATGGTTAAAAAGTGTAATTAGTAATTTAGGCTGAGGCCGTATATTATCATCTTATGACTAGGAGATTCATGTTTGTGGTGGTCTGACTTTTAAATTTATATGAAGACAAAAAAGGCATGTTAAAGATTTATACCCTGGCTGTATAATAACCTTAGTGAGGAACTGTTATTGCTGCACCATTTGTTTTTCTGAAAATTCCTTTTTATTATTTTTATAGGCTCTCTTTTGGGATGAAAAATTAAGTGGCCCATTTGGTTTGATAGCTGAATATGTGTTACTTCAGGTAATTTCAAACACCAGTAATTTATTTCTGTTCTTGTTTATTATCATTATCTGCAATAAATATTTAAAATATATTGATAGATATTTTAAATGAAAAAAAGTATTGTAAATAGGTTAAATCAAGGCACTTTCAGTTGAATATATTTCTAAATGATTTTCATGCTTAATTATTAGTATGTCCTTATGTATATGTATGTGTGTAAACTAACTTGTCAAAAATTGATATGAAAAATATATGAAAAACTTTTATAAGGGCTGATAGAGCTCTATGGAAATTCTTACGGAACTTTATAGGTAACAATATAAAAATGCTTCTGTATTAAATTCTAAAGAAATGTTATAAAAGGCTTTCAGAGAATGTAATTCTATAAAATAATAAATAAAATATTGCTTTGCAAAATTATAGAGAAATTTTGTAAAGCCTTTCTAAAATGGTATTTTATAGAAATCTGCAAAATTTTGAACTATAATCAATGTAAATTTTCGGTTTCCAAAGGACATGGAACAGCAAAAACAATCACTTTTTGTTTATAAGAGTTGAATCATTTTGAAATGGAAATTTTTGCTTTTTTTCCTTTGTTGATTTTATATTGTTGTTTATTTGTTGATTTTATATTATTGTTTATTTGTTGATTTTATAATGCTCAATAAAAGAATACAAGATTCAATGTATGGGATCTTTAGAAACTGTACAAATTTTTATAGAATCTCTACACAAATCTATTCATATTTCTGTGGAATCTCTGTGCATAACTCTATAGAATAAAATTTTATAAAATTCTGTAGGAGATCTGTAACCTAGCTTATAGTAAACTGAGCCATAATTCTAAAGAATTCTAAAGACATTTTCATTTAATTCCTCTAGAACTATTTTTTTAATAAAATTCTGTAAGACATTTTCATAAGTGCAGTGTAGCAATTAAAGAGTAATTGTCAAAGCAGCAGTTCTCAAATATCAGCAGTGTTGATATATATATGTAAGTAAGCAAGGTAATTATTAGTACAGGTCATTACAGGTCGTAATTATTAGTACAGGGTTGTATATACAGGGTTGTTATAAAAAAACTTCTCTGATATATAAACCCCTAGCAGCCTATCCGCTCAACTGCTCAAAATGAAATTTACGATATAGTTATTTGAAGGTATGTACTCAAGATTGTGATGATTTAAAACAATAGAGCTCTCACAATTACAGTAAAAAAATTTCGAAATTTTCGAATAGCAACACCCAAGTTTTTCGTGCACAAAGTGATCAATGCATTAATAAACCCTAAATAGTGTTGGAATGTTATATGTATGTGATGAAAATTGCTTGTGTATGTATAAAATATGTATGTGATGAATATTGACAAAGGAGAGCACTATAAAGGACCAGTGACAACCCAAGAGAGGAGAGGCGGAAAATTTTTTTTTTAAATTACATGTTTTCACCCACCTCCGCAGACTATAACAAATTGGATGCGGAAGATTGTTGACAGCAATGATAAATGTAGAGTTGGGGTACCGTATTTTGGGGGTCCAACCCAGGACATATTTTTGAAATTATTTAGAAGTCTTTACTGAAACATTAAACTTTAGTTATTCAGTAGTATTTTTCACCAGACATGACATTTTCCAGAAATGGTTTCTTTTTTAATTACATCATAAAATTCACAAGAAGAAAGTTCTGAATCAATTTTAACATTTAGCAGATATTTAATAGTATATAGTGAAAGTCTATCCCTTTCTTGCAGGCCAAATGTTCCCCATAAGTGAAAAACAGTGGCGTAGCTAGGGTGGGGCAAGGGAAGACATCTGTCCCCAAGCGCAGCCATCCAAGCAGCGCCAAATTGATGTTACAAATTTTTTTAATGAAATGTTTTCCATTCTTGGCACACAGAAAGGGGCGCAAATTCTTCAGTTGTCCCCGGGTGCTGGAATCCTAGCTACGCCACTGGTGAAAAAACTCTCTCAACTGAAGCAGATGTCTCAGACAAAAATGTTGCAAACTCAACCATTTTAAAAATGTTGCAATATATCAGTCTTTTGAAACACTTTAAAAATTGCTTTAGACTTCTTTTCAATAGAATTTGGTACTTTATCAAAACCTGATCCACAGCCTACCCTTTGGTTTTGAATTATATGGTTCAACAATATATGTTCATCAAATAAGTCATAATATTTATGGAATATTATAATTTTATTAACATCTTGTGCACTCTGTCCTTAAATAAGACCAGGCAATTTCAGTTCATAAATTTATCCATTGAAATTTACTAACTTTATCAAAATTGGTTCTGACTAACTCTAAGTATTGAATACTAGAATTATAAAAATTGTCTATGTTTGAGAAGAATTTGTGTTCCTGAATGTCATTATATTCTTTTAGAGTGCATAGCAATTCTTTGGCAGAAGATGGTTTTTTGTTCTTTCCTGAAGTTGACAAACTAATTCAGAATATGTCTGAAATGCTTCTGTTGCTGGAGCTTCTAATTTCAGAACTACATTATGAAATAACTGTAGTTATAACTGTAACCATATAAAAATTTCAAAAACAGTTCACTTTCTAGATTTTTAAAAAAATCAAATGATAATTTGGGGCATTTCTCAGAAGACAGGAAGTATGATTTTAGGCCATCAAAAATGGAAAGAATTCTATCTATTGCAGGTAACAAAGGAACCTTGTGCTGCTATGATATAATACTTTTTTGTAATCTGTTTTTACAAATTCACAGAACTCGCTTAAGTTTCATTACTCTTACTGTATATATGTGAAAATATTTATAATTTTTTATAACAAAAGCTTTTATGTCAGGGGGTAGAGAATCACATGCTGTTTGTACTGAATTGTGTTACAATGTGAGCTGAGAAACCAATTTCTAAAATAAGTTTACCCAAATCATTTTAAACTTTTCTGAACACATTTTCATTCCCCTTTCTCTTCACACCACTAAAATTACTGTTAGTGTTATTGGTAGTATAACAAACCAACTTTCCTTCAAATTTGTATTTTTTCAAGCACTGCAAAAGATACCGAGTCAAAATTTAAGCAGTTTTAGTTGACACTTCATCGAAATTTAAAAGCTTAGCTTGAATTCCCTCCTGCAGGTATGATCATTTGCGGTTTTGCAGCTGAGGATGGTGGTTCGGTAAAACCATCGAAACTAGTCCTGTGAAAATTTTGTAAATATAATGCTGATTTTTGTTGTTTGACTTCTGAATTAGTATTTATTCAGCGTGTTATTGTGTCTTAATTTGTATCAGATGTTAGAACCTATGTTTAAATGTAATGTATGCATTTGAGACAGGAAAAACACAACTTCATCAATCCACCCAGTAGAACGGGAGGTATAGATCTATCCTAGTATTTTTGGTGCAAGGTGTACATTAATGCACATAATCTCTATTTTGTCATTGGTCTTTTGCAGTGTTCTTCTTTGCAAAACTTTTATGCTGGCCATCCAATGCTGTTTGTGGGTTTTCAATATGTTGATGCATTTGCACAGGAAAAAGTAGTTGTTGCCATTCAAAACTATCAAAATATTTTCACTGTAGCCATAACTGTGAGAGCTGTATTGTTTAAAGTTGTAAATGAACACAACTTCCTCCCCTTTTGACTACACTCATGGATTCAATAGAAATTTAGGGAATTTTCTACTTCTTTTCCTTTTCTTTCTATAGGCCCTTCTTTCTTCCCCGCTACTAATTTTAGGCTATTTACTTTACTTTTATTTTGTCCCATCTTTCTTCCTGACCTTTTGAACTCATATAAAATGTAAAAAGTTCCTTTTTACTCTCCATTGAAATACAAAATTGCGCCCCCCCCTTCTATATATCGTTCCTTTGCACCTAAGCTTGATTTTTCGCCCATCGGTGCAGAAAGACTTAGTGGGTGCAAAACAAGACATCTGTCTAATTGTCTGTCTGTCTTTTGTCGTCGCACTCTCAACAACCTAACTTCAAATAACAATATCTGAAGTGTTATTTCGCTTGCTTGAGTGGATAGGCTGCTAGGGTTTATGAATCACAGAAGTGTTTTTATGACTATCCTGTATGAGGTTTAATATGCTCAATGCTAAATTTCATGAAATTGGCATCATGCATAGATCTGGCATTGTATGGCTATTTATGATGTGATACGACGGTTGGAACTTTAATAGTGGCAACACAGCTAAAAAAAGCTATGCAACAAAACCAAAGAATATCGCGTATACCACACGTAAACTACATACCTACCTTACCTCTCAGCAAAAAGACTCGTCCTGCCTACGACACGCGCATGCAGAGTGACGCGAAGAACGGATCCTTGTATTAGCTCGCGGTCTAAAGTAAGTGTTGTCAGGATGTTTTCAAAACAGGAACAATGATGTTGGATAAAAATTTAATGTGCCAGAAGTGGTACAGCACGACAGTGTCATCAAGGGCTTCAAGAGGCTTGCGAGGAATCTGCATTGCCTTACAGAACCATAGCAAGATGAGTGAAAGCATTCAAAGAAGGATGCCAAAATGTGGCAGACATGCTGCGGCCAGGTCGTCCGAGTGTCAGCGATGCTGACGTGCAAGCTGTTACCGCACTAATGGACAGTGATCGCCGCCAAACGATTGGTCAGCTGGCTGGACAAATAGGATTAGCGCATACAACTGTGCTGCACATTCTGAAGGAATGCCTGACCATGAGAAAAATTGCTTCACGATGGGTTCCACATCAATTGACGGAAATGCAAAAATGGCTACGATACAATGCTGCCCGAACCCACCTGGAGCGCTATGAGCGCGAAGGAGATGCTTTTTTACGCCGTATCATTACGCTGGATGAGACTTGGGCCTGATCGTACCAGCCAGAACTGAAACGCCAATCAAACGAATGGCGTCATCACAGGTCACCACGACGTTCGAAATTTCGTCAGTTTTGTTCGAAATTTTCAGTTCGAATTTCGTCAGTTTCGTTTTCGTTCAAATTTCGTCAATGTGAAAGTTATGGTGATTCTCGTGTATGACTGTGATGGTGTAATCCTAACGCATACCTTTCCACCACAGCAGATCGTCACTGCGCAATATTACTGCTCATTTTTGGAGCACAATCTCTGACCAGCTTTGAGAAAAAAAACGGCGACACTTTCTGCAGAACGCTCCTCTCATTTTGCATGACAATGCTTGGCCGCATGCAGTACAAGCTGTGACTGATTTGTTCAAGCGATGGGGCTGGGAAGTGCATTACCATCCGCCATACTCCCCAGATCTTAGCCCTTGTGACTATGACTTAATCCCTAAGATGAAGGAACCAGTTCGTGGCACTCGCTTCCAAACTGTTCCTGAGATTCTTGCGGCAGTAGACCAGTCCATTCAAACTATCAACAAAACAGGCACTGCTACAGGTATTCTGTGACTTCCACATCGTTGGAAACGGGTTGTACACAATGCTGGCGACTATATTGAAGGACTGTAAAACATGGTGACATGAATCACTTTTTTATTCCTTGTAAATAAATAGTTGCCACTATTAAAGTTCCAACCCTCATATAAATAAGCTAGTACAAGCTGGCATACATGATATAAACAAGCTAGGACCTATTTGGCAAATCCATGCCCCATTAAAAGAATAAAAATTTTTAATTATTTTTTAAGGACAGATTCTGCATCTAAATTCCACATGATCTTCAGAATAATTTTGAGCCTTCTGGAATGGAATGGGAAGTACACTTTCCAATTATCTGCAACCTTGATTTCAACATTTGTTAGAATTGCCATACTTTTTGAGTTCACTGTTTGAGCACATTTTTTGTGTGCACATGGCAATAGCTTACTCATGCATGCATATACCATATACATGTTTGAATACATGTAAATTTATACACTTTATATTTAACTGCCATTTTACTTAACAGCATTTACTGGTTTTGGAAATGTAAATATCAGCTGTATAGGTTTTTGTTCTTTCTCCTAAAATTTTTTATGCTTATAAAGGGCTTCATTTTATTACATTTTATTAACACAATTGCACTTATAAGTTGTAAAGATAACCAAACAAACATTTTTCGCCGATTCTCATTGACGCCTTTCCATGGGGCTGTTGATTTTTAGAAATACCATCAAAGGTTTTATACAAATAGTTTTAAACTGCATATTTTCAACAAATGCTTAATAATATCATTTATAGTATATTTATACTTTGAGTATTATTTAAATGAATGCTATCAATATTTGTTTTCTTTTCTAGGAACATGAAGTCACAAAGATGTTCCCTTTACAGTGTAACAGATATCCATCTGTGGATGCTAAAAATATTATATTTATCGTAAGACCTAAAATTGCTCTTATGGATATAATAGCAGATTATATTTTAAAGTAAGTTTTAAAAAAAAATATCTTTCTTTTATTTTCTCATTATTCAGAAATTCACTAAACTGTATCAGAGATATGAAAAACTAACTATTTTAGACAAATACAAGGACCCATAAATGTTTCTAATATTATATGTCAGAAATTACTTTAGGCAGTTCAGTCCATCATCATTCCTCGAACAAGTTCCATCATTACTTTAATGGTACTGAGGTGGTTTGCATTGAATGATTCCCAAAGATGCATGTGCAATCATCATATGTTTGTATGTTAATTCCCCAGATTGTGTGACAGGCCTTTAGCACTTCCTCTGAATTTTTATTCTTCCAGTATTTGTACTACTTTCAAGTATATATGTGACTATAAGCTGCTGTGTAAAAATTGGTGGTTTTTATGTTTTTAGCTTACTAATAAAGCTTGTCTAAGAGCTTGTGTCACCTTGTGTATTGTTGACCAGAAAGTATGTTCGATCATCCAGAAGTTTTTCAGATTGAAGTGCATTTTCTTCTAATTATTGTTACTGCTGATAAGGAGTGACCTTGATCAAAGCAAATGTTTAAATAAGGTCTTTTTTTGCTCAAATTGCATTATTCTGACATGTACTGTGACATAATTTTTGTTAAAATGCAGTACTAGGAATGGAGAACCCAAAAGTTTATCTTTATCAAATTATGCTCTTTTATTTTAAAAGAGGAAAAATATTAGTCTGACTGCTCATATAATTTGTGTTTTGTATAGACAGAATGCTGTTTCAAATTCGAAAGTGGTTTGAGAATTTTAGGCATGAAAAATTCAGCCTTGAAGATGATGTAACTCTAAACAATCATTCATTATAAACAAGAAACTACCAGATATAATAAAAAAGTACACGATCGTGTAAAGAAGCTTTATGTAAAAACCACTATGATGAATGAATACCCCATACATTAACGAAACAGAATATTCTTGCTACAGTTTTGACATGTTGTTCTTTGCTGAAAAGAACTAAAGGAGATCCTTTTTTGAAATGGCTCATCTCTGGAGATGAGAAGTGTATGCTATACAGCAGAGCTTCTTAAGCTTTTTTCCAGTCATGATCCCTTTTACCCCATAATATGTAAAAAAATTTTGTGGGACCCCATTAGCATTGTGCAAATCCAACACACGCGTGAGTGAAACCCTCAATTTTTTCACTTGTGCTATCAAATACTATTGCAGTTATAGGTCATTAATTTTAATTTCTAATTTTAAGACATAGAACAATATGAAAATTTTAAATAAGTAATGGACGAAATGACAGCGGTATGTGTAAAGCAAGTAAAATTAATGTTTCTATTATAAAAAGAATGCATCAAAATGTTTTCATTTTTTCTTTGTTTATATTGTCTTATCTTTATCTATTTTCAGATACATTGTGTAAAAATGTTTGGTAATTGTAAAATTATTATAAGTCAAAGAAATATCAAAACTGCTAAAATTTTTGGTGATATCCTGCTGCAAGTCCCACACACAGTTTAAGAAACTGCTATACAGTAATGTTACAAGAAAAACATCATAGAGTAAGCCAAAAGAACTTTAGTAACAGGAAGAGGGGAGCCTGTATTCCCAAAAAGGGTATACTGAATAAAGTTATACAGTACAAAGTCCGTAATCCGGACTCGTCGGGACTTCGACGATTCCGGATTAGTGGTTTTTCCGAATTATAGATCAGCAATTTCAATCTGGTAAGATGGCATGCAGAAATTATACAATTAAAAATATGAAACCATAATTTATGAAATAAAGCAATTATGATCTAAAGGGTATCAAAATTTACAAAAAAAAAAAAAAAAAAAAAAAAAAGCTTTATATTTATGTGTTTACTTTTTTTATTATTTCTTTCAATGTAAGTTGTTTAAGTTGCTTCATTTTTTGTGCTAATATTTTTTCTTTAATTCTATAAACAGACATAATTTCTTGTTCAGCTACAAATTTCCACTGTTCAAGTCCTTTAATTGCTGTGTTGAGAATACCGACTAACTTGTCAATCGAAATTTTTTCATTTTCAATAACCTCTCTGTCACTTTCTTCACTGTCGGAAGCGGGCATTAAACGCGCATGCGTAAACACATTACGCACATGTGTAAAGCATACAAAAAGAAACAGTTTGTAGCTTTGAGGTCCGGATTATAGATCATTCCGGATAATGCACTTTGTACTGTACATGGTGAAACTGCAAAGGAATGATATCCTATGAATTGTTGCCATAGGTATACTATGAAGTTTAAAAAGCAGAGAGCAAAAAAGCAAAGTGCCAGACTGACCAGTTGTTGAGGTGTTGTGTTTCTTCACGAAAGTGTTAGGCCCCACATTTTGATGAATTTCAGTAATATTAAAATATGGTTGAGGTGTTTTGTGTCATCTCGCAAAGTAAACCTTGCCCGCTGAGATTTTTCATCTTAGTTCCAAATTCTCTGAATGGCATGGAGTTAATTTCTTTCAAAACTCTCAAACAGCACTGTGATAATTTTTTTATGAATGGCAAGTGAAGATGGCAAAAAGTCACAGCACAAAATGGTCTTATGATTCATTGAAATTTTCTTGTGTTTTTGTATTGCTTCATTAGTATAAATTGTTTAAAGAAAAGGGTGAAAAAAATAAAGGAACATTTTGCATGACCTAACAGTATTTTCTGATTGTCCTCACAAAAAGTCACCATCTAATTGCCAACATTACAGCTTATGGGTACTGTTCTATTCATAAATAATAATAAAAAAAGCATTTTCTTTGAATCAAAAAATTTTATATGAAAATAACAAAAACCTTGTATAGCTGATAAATTGATTTTATGATTTTACTATGATTGCTTGCTGATGATTTTACGATTGGAACAGATCTAAACAAAGTAAAGATTTAAGATTACGGTTTAAAAATTAACAACTGTTGTGAGAAAAAGTTTGATATCTGACTAATCAAAACTGAAAGTGTCTTCCCAAAAGCAATTTTTAGAAAACTTTTCTTTTGCAGTATATTTTTTTTTTAATTTTTCACTGTAAAATATGTTAAATTTAGAAAACTAGCTGCTTTAAATAGTTATTATAAAAAAGGAAAAAAATATAATAATAAAATGGTTGCACAAGTATAATTTCCTGGCAGTCTGGTAATTAATAATTAAACAGAGATGATAAACTGTATTTGTTGCTTTTAAATAAAAGTCAGATTAAATTTGGAAAAAAATGTAAATATTCTGTGCTTTTCTAAATGGCAACTGTTTGGAGCATGGAAGATAAAAATATTTATTTCTAAAACAGAAGATGTAAAACTGCCCCCCTTCTTCTCTCTCTCCCCCCCCCATCTCAAACCTCAAATTCTGATTTTTTTAAAATTAATTTTATGTCTTATGCCAGTTCAATGAAATTTTGATTAACAAACTCAAGGATTTAAAAGCATTGTCTTGTCAGAGTTGCCAAAGCATAAGATATTCATGGTTGAAATTTAATTAGAAAACTCATTGATTTAATGAAATGTATTACCATTCTACAAAGCATACAATATTTGTTATTTCTAGTTCTTTAATTGTTATACAGATGATTACCAGAATTCGGTGCAGTAGTAAGCAGTTTATTAAGAAAGTAGAATGACTATGAGCAATTTTATTAAATTGTAGTTTGACCTTGTTACTGTATTTTTAATATAATATTTTGCTTTAATTCTAGATTAGAAGGTATGAAAATTTCAAAAAAGGAATTTAGTATTTTCTTTGTTCCAAGGAAAAATGAACTCTGTCAAGAAAGACTGTCTGTAAGCCATATTTGTTAACTCTTTATTTTTTGTACATATATGGTTTTTCAAAGCAACACGATTAAAACCCCCAAGATAGGTTGGCTGCATGGGTGTTTTTGTGACTTCCTCCATGCTTATTACAGATACAAGCCAGTTCACTTTTCAGGTACTCCATGAAGGCATCCTTCTCATGTAATTTGCCATATTCAAATAACCTAAACTTTTCAACAATGTTATTATACTTAAATAACTTAAATGTTTATGATGAGGAAATACTTTATTACCATATCTGTCAGTCTCACTAGCTATGAATCCAGTTAATCATTTATCGTTTGAATTTGAGTGAGGTATAATAAAAAAAAGTTTTTAATCAATAAGCTTTTATTTAAAATAGATATGATAATTAAGGTACTGAAAGGAGAGAAATAATGGTGGTTTGTTATAAAAAACCCCGAGACTGAATCACCAATGAACTGAGATATCTTGCCAAAATCTGACTATGTGTTTTTATACTTTACCATGTGATCATATATCAGCATCGGCATGTTCTTAAACCTCGCCACATAATCCTGTATTTACCATGTTGAATTTTTTGCTCTCATGACATGTTCTTATATTATTCATTTTTGATAAGTTTATCAAATTCGCATTCTTTATTTAAAAATATATTCATTGCCTTTTTTGTGTGAATATGACATTATTTTTAATTTACCAAGTAATGAGGAGGATGTCATATCATTTTTTTAAGAGAGAGGTCAGTCTTCTGTATGAGTAATTGAGTAAGCGAAATTGGCTATAACATGAAACTTTATCTTAACGACGAGATCATTTACAGATTCCACTCACAGTGAAGCAACATGAGTGAACTAAATAAAAGCTTATAAAAATGGAGACAAGAGCAACATCCCATTCATGTAGTCTTCCAGAAAGTGAAGAAATCCATGTTTCAGTAATGGTTCCAAATGTTGAAAGATACCTAGCAAGATCTCGTTAAATTTATGTCTTGTTTTATGAGAAAGATTAGAACCTGTATCATGTTATATAGATGATTAATTAATGATGTAATATATTGTTTACCCCTTTTAGCTATTTATATTTTAGTTGATGGCTCTAAAATGGGTTATTGTTTTAATCCTGTCTTTTTCCTTCCATTTTATTGCGTGTTCATATCTTAAAATAGCATTTAAAAGTGCCATGATCTAAGATGTAAATAACTAACTAAAAATGGTAAATCACATCCTATATGATTACCAATGGTTTTAATAGTTTGGCCATTTTTCTTCTGGATTGAATCTGTAATAAGTGTGAAAATTTATTATTTAGAAAAACAGAGGAAGTGAAATATTTAATTTAGTTTTTCATTTTCACAGTGAAATTATTTGAAAAAATAATTGCATTTTCTATCTTAAGAAATTTTTTAAAGTAATTCCTTCTATGAAATTACTAGTACAGAGCTAATGGTTTTCAAGCTTAATGTACTCAGTTTAATAAATTAAAAATATATATATATATAA